TTCACCACCGAAGCGCTTGTAAGCCGGCGCGAAGTAATTATCAATGCTGGTGGCTGACATCTCTGCCTGATTAGATGCTCTGGCCGAGCAGTTTTACCGGCCGATTCTATCGCCGGTTTATGCCAGACGAAACGCGTTGAACGACCGCCGTAAACGCAGCCACGAGTCGCGCGCGGTTCATTAATTTTTCCTCGAGCACAGCGCGATCCAGCGCGATCTATATCCCCTGATTTTTTCCCGGACGAATTGCAGGAACGAGAACTTGGGCGATATCGATGTCTCGCGGGCACCGAGGACATCGATCTTGCCGCGAACAATATCGATCAGGGCTTGAAAATATATCGATGCGAATAACTTTGGCGCAGCCGCGGGAGATTAAATTTTCGTTATCCACGGCACAGCATCCGCGATATCGCGATAAATACGACGAGGCATATTCGTGCGCGTTCGAATGCATAAAACGCGTACCTCTTCATTAACCGAAGACGATTTATTTAACACGTCGTCCCTGAAGTGAGCGTACATAAATCGATTTTAGATGGTATTTTCTAGCGACTCACTCCGTATACGCGTCAAGCAATCCCGACCTTGATGAACCTTCATCCCGAACCTAACGGAAGAGATCCGAGCCCAATAAGCGCGACGAATTCACCATCGGGAAGACGGACGTTCCCGGTACGGTCATAAACGGAGAATTATTTATCATATGGGTTAAATGTTACGTCCGATAAATCTCCGACGTCAGACACACTTTCCGAGAGAATGCGGCGGACTTTTACATCGATGATCGTCCGAACGTCGTATCATTACTCTTCGTACGCGGGCCCGGACACCGAGAGAGCTCCGTTACGGGGCCTTAAGGCCGAGTGTACACTAACATCGTAAACGCGCGAGTACCCCTCGCAACAGGTAGTTGACGAAATCTCGAACGGATCGAGCCTCGTCACGTTCTAGATATTTTCAAAGCCAGATACGCCGGCTGATTCAATTAGATCGATCGTAACGTTGACGGAACTCGGCGCGAACATCGAAGATCGATGAACACGATTAGGCCGCGGACATGCGTCGAACGTTTTTCCTATTGGAAATCACCGTTTATTATCTCTATAAATAGATCTGTTCCTCGTTCTATTCCGCGAAATTCACTGTTGCGCGGCGACTGTAACGCTGCTCTGCCCTGTATCCCGCGGAATTACACGGCTGTCGAACGCAATTTAATCCGTTGACCGCGCGACTTTCCGACCGCCAACGGTCCTATTAACATAACGAAACACGGTGAAAACCGACTCGATCGCGACTCGTTTGCGCATACGAAGCAGTTTCACTTTCCGCGCTAGCCGATCCGAATTTTCAGCTGTTTCATGAAATATCGACGAAGTTAAATTGCTAGGAAATTGGACCACCGTGTTCACCACGAAGCAGATTACGAAATCACACGAAATTCGAACCATCGTTTATTAAGATCAACCATATACAGAATAAATAAAAAATCAACTTATCGTACGAGTCGTACGACTAATTGTAAGACAAGTTAACATTGTACAGAGAAAAAAGAACGTCGTGATACATAGACCGGGAATTTTAACATAAAATAAAACCTGCGCGTTTCGACCGCAGTGTACGGTCATTCTTTCTTCAAGGATGTTAATAACCTTGCAAGTAATTCATTAATATTCTTAATATCCTTCAAGCTATTCACCGTCTCAAATTTCACTTCCTCGTTTATCTCGTGAACGCATAAAATCCGCAGTGTGGTAATAGACGCCGAGAAAAGCGCGCAACGTTACATTTGCGGTGTACAACCGTATACATTCTGGCATAAAACTCATCGATTTTAAGGTACTAATACCAATTAACTAACTAAATTAGTTAACGCGATCTTAATATTATAAGCTTAGTAATATTCGAAGCTTAGTTATTTCAAATAATTTTGTTTTCATGAGACCGTTGATCGACGCAAAGACGTGCAAAGAACGGCGAATCGAAGTTACGCGATATTTTGTCAAGAACGATTGAAAAATCGGTAAAGGAAAAATAAAAATAGGTGTCCAGTTGCACACGCAACGGTTAACGTTTCCGCTGTCACGCCGGAAGCTCAAAAATTTCACGAAATTCAAGTATTTTAGGAAAATAAAAATAAAAATAGGTGTCAGTTGCACACGCAACGGTTAACGTTTCCGCTGTCACGCCGAAAGCTCAAAAATTTCACGAAATTCAAGTATTTCATGCAATGAAATCGAAAAGATAAGTTCTTACATTTTGCTGCATGATCCGAATAATAGGGGAAAGATACGATAAATTAGCCTGAGAAATTAATTTTCAGATCTGTGCGGAAAAAGAATGCGCGGTGCCGGTTCCGAGTGTAGACTCGGCATAAACGTTTCAACCCGTTTAGCCCGCAAGAACGGTACGAGGAAGCTGCGGAAGCCCGCGGAAGGTTGCGGCGAACACGTCGCCTCGTTTCCACACACGACCGTGATAAATACTCCGAAAAACGTTTCTGCCGCGTGGGCGGGAGAGTGCGATCCCGGTTGTATGGCGTCCACCACCGGCGCGGATACTTTCCACAGTCTGGTTGTACAGTTAGGCGTGACGCAACCGCGCACTCGCGAACGGTATGAGATCCCAATTATCGAATGCTTCCGGTTTCTAAGGGTCTCGGGTCTGCGTGGAACAACGCCTAGCTGGGTTAGGTTCCTGGAGCGATGAATACCGGGATGAGGCCCGTTGCGCCGCAGGAAAAGTCGGCTCGCAGCCTCGCCGAGCTTATTGTTAGCTTTGAATCGCTCTCTAATTGAAAGACAGGTATCCGGCCGAGAACCGCTATCGACCGCTGTCAACCGCAGTATGTTTCATGAAAAAGCACTCCTGTCAGAAATAACAAATCAGCGCGCGTGAAACAGATCTTTTTGTACAAAGTTATGCGAATCGATGATTAACGATTACGACTCGACAATTATTATAACTAATCTATAACGAATCAAAGATTGAAAGCTCGCTAGTTATTAAAATTAATTTATAACATTTTAGAATAACATACTATATTATTTATAATAACCAACGCGTCACAATCGTTTTCTAGCAATATGCGAAAACGAAATGAATATCCACAATATATGAAATTCGCACGCTATCAAAGTCGATGAAACTGAAACTATAGAAAGTTGAAATTAATTATTTGTTAATTGATTAAAATTTAAGAATTAAATTAATTAGCTACCAGTTAAACTCTTCTGCATTATAAATATCCTAGTAACGTTCGGTGCGTTTACAATAAAAATGAATAATAAAAATTAAGGTTAAATAATTAGCGTTACCCATGCGTGACCGACGCGACGCTCAACGTGTCAACAATTTTATACTTTCATCGATTTGTTCAGTGTCAAGTAAAATGAAAAGTATAATATAAGAAATATGTATTTTTTAATATTGTTTCATATATCATATAAATATATCATATAAATCGCGTATAAAGTTCATATTGTAGATTAAGTTTTTTTCATAAATACCACAAATTGAGCAATACGGCTATCGCATTATGGGACTCCAGGCTCGATAGCGTGTTTCTAAAGTTCGTTTTCTATTTTCTTGTTACCGTTAATGTCCGGATGATTAACTCTCCGAGGAATCACTGGGACGTTAGTGTCTTAGAAGAATAAGGATCCGGACAATGTCATGCTAAAGAAATCCGGTCATTATTCCAACAAAGAGTAACTATACGCAATGAATAACATTGAAGACGTCCACTTAAAACGCAGCTTGATGACGTTAACATCAAAGGCTACACACCAGAGATGCGGCCCTGTCCACTAAAGTCATTCCACGTGTTATTGCGGAAGTGGTCTTTGAAGATCGTAAGAAACCGTCCGCGGTGATCCACGACGATCGGATAAGCCTGAAGATCGTGGTTGTAAAAGAAGTTTATAAGGCTTCAGATTATACGACTGTCACGGGCTATCTATCTTGGCCGATACATAGTGATTTCCGTCTTCCAAAGTGAAGAATGAAAAGATAGCTCTCGCGGCTACCATTTGTCGTAAACGCATTTTTATTTCGGTTCTATGGACTCTCGGGCTTAATATCTTTAACACCATGTGTTTCACAATTTCAATGTCCCGTTTCTACCGACGGATTAACGTCGTAACTGCGCATGAATCGGCGGCGATCTCAACGTTAGCCAATCAAACTGTCTGCCATTTGGTTATCTTTAATTCGACGCTGGTCATTCTTCGCACGACGGTACATTCCACAGATTATTTTCTACATACCAAACTGTATTGCCTCGCTGTTCGATTCTTAGTAATTTTTCAAACGAATTTGCTTCGCAGCCAGCGCTTTCTTTTCAATTATACTCGTTTAATCGGTTCTCGAAATAGCGTGTTGGACCAATGACTATTGTTACGGTATCGTTGTCAGATATTTCTTTGCAGTCAACTTTTAGAGTGGCCGGCAAAAATAAGTCTATCAAATTCCATGTAATATTTATTATTCTTCGTTACCTTGAGTTTAATATTATTTAATATTACACGATATCTTGCCTAGATAAAATTCTTTCCACTCTTGTGCGAAGAATATTTGTTCCAATTACGTTCTGTTCACTCTACAGAGCCTTCCGTTTCAACCCTCGATCGTGTACTGTTTTTTTCTATGTATCAATTGCAATCGCAGGAAACTGCCTGAATCATCAACAATTCCGAGATTCTCAATTTTATAAAAAAAAAGATGAACATATCTACAGTTCCTTTGAACTAACATCTACCAACAGATCGTGTCGCGAATGACCTAGACGTTGACGCTACTTCGCGATCCTTTAATTAAAAAAAGAAAGCATAGCCATCGATCCAGCGTAAATCTAAGCAATCGATGCTAAAAAATTTCGCTGCTCCGGGTTAAACGTTCGCAAAATATGATTTCAAACGACCCGTCTTCGGAGAACGTTTCGCGACGGACTCGATAGTCGAGGAGCCCCCGATCGGATCGAGACAAGAAAGACCCCTTACCTGATTGATGTCGCTGCCCAAATCCCTGGCGCTCTTCGCGCTCCTCAGCTGATCGCCACGGTACTCCCTGTACCTGATGGTGACCTCGTCGTCGGTGAGCGCGCCGCTGCCGCCGCTCCTCGCGTTCTTCTTGTTCTTCTCCTCCTTCGCCTTCTTCTCCTTCTTGCTGAACAGCTGCTTCACTTTGCTCATCGTGCCGCTCTTCTTCGCCGCCTTCTTCTCGTACTTTTTATCGGCGCCGGACGGCGGTTTCGCGGTGACCGGCGGCGACTTCGATACGTCGTTCGAATACTTGTCGTACTTCCGCTGCTCGGACGCGGTCAAGTTCATGTTCCGGTCGGTGTGCCTTCGTTCGTGCTTGATGAACTGTCTCGTGACGAATCCCTCGTCCTCGGACTCGATCTGCTCCCGTCTGTCCACCTCCTGCGAGTCACGCCTGTAATCGTTCTCGATGCCCGAATCGGCCAGACGGTCCTTCCGGTCGGAATCGCTGAGTCGTGTCTCGCGTTGACGCCGCTCCGTGTGCGACCGAGTCTCCTGTCTCATGTGCCTGGACTTGCCGCCTTCGTGGAAGGCCCTGGCCGGCCTGGTCGGGCTCTCGTCGAACGGCTCCAACCTGCCTACCGATGCCTTCACTCGTGGACTCTCCCTGGCGTCGGAATCGTCGAAGTAATCCAACCGATTGCGGGACCTGCGCAGAGGCTTCTTCGGGTCCTCGTCCATCTTCCGGTGCTCCTTTCTCAAAGTGCGCGAGGTCTCGTCGTATCTGGTCTCGCAGCGGATCGAGTCTCTGGCGGTGGTGTCCGAGTCGTATCTGCTCGAGTTGTAGCCGCCGCGGTCGGTGCGTATCCTCGGCGGCGAGCTGTCGTAGTCGTCGTGGATCGGGTGCTTGCTGGTGGTGTACCGTTGGGTGGTGCGCGTCTCCTTGTAGTACTTGGACTCCAGTTGACTGTTCGTCATCTGGGAGATGTCTGTGTCGTAGTCGTCGTTGGGCCCCTCTCTCAGGCTGTCCAGGTGTCTCTTCGCGAAGGGCGACCTCTCCTTCCGACCGTTTATCGTGGGACTCTCGTGAAGCGGCCGACGCATGTCCCTGGCGTTCACGTAGTCCGCGTGACCGCTGGTCAGGTTCTCGTGGGACCTGGTCGTGTACTCGCTCCTGAGCGCCCTGACTCTCGCGTTCTCGCCTATCTCGTCCAATCGCTGCGTGGACTTGCTCATGCCGCGTATCGATTCGAAGTTCTTCTTCTTCGGCATGTACGGGTCCCTGGGCCTGGTGGTCTCGCGGTCCAGGAAGTCCTCGCTCTTCGAGAATTTCCTCTCGGTGGTGAACTTCTTCGCGACGATGGGCGACGGCAGCGCGTTGTTCTCTTTGGACTCGCCGCGGAAGTGGTGCGGCATCGTGTGACCCTCCTGATGGAAGTTGGCCACCTTGTACGGGCTGCCGGTGCCTCGGATGCCCTGGAATCGGTCCTCCGGGCTGTTCCTAGCCCGGTTACCGACCACCTTGAAGTCGTCCGCGTAGCCCTCGTGCGTTCGCGTCTCGACGATGTACTTGTCGCCGTACTTGTCCGTCCTGGTCTCGACGGTGTACCCGTCCCTCGGTTTCGCATCGATGTAACCGTCGGTCGGTATTTTGTTGGTGATCTTCTTCTCGTAGCCGTAGACCTTGCCGTTGTCCTCGTGTATCTCCTTCTCGAAGATGTACTTCTCCCCGTTGCTGTTCGTCCTTGTCTCCGTGATGTAGGTGTCCATGTAGCGTTTCGGCGACGCGACGCGGTTCGGCGTCACGGGGGACGGCACGATCGGCTTATCGATGATCTCGTGCTCGGACTTTTTGATCGGCACGTTGGCGCTGTTCTTCGCGGCGAATATCTCGTCCGCCAGCAGCCTCGACTTGATCCGGGACTCGAGAAGGTCGCGTCTCGCGCTCAGCTCGGACGTCTTGTTCGAGATGCCGGGCTGCGTCTGTCTCAGGAGGTACTCGTTGCTCTCCCGTTGCCTGGCGTCGGTCCCGTCGGCCCTGCCCCTGCCGGAAGCGTCGACGAACACCGTCGACGTGTACTTCTCCGGCTTATCGTAGAGTCGCCGGTCGATCTGCTCGAACTCGTGGTGCCGTTTCGCTTTCGCGTCCGAATTCCTGGACGCGTAGTCCTGCGCGCCGCTGTAGTGGCCGGCGAAGTGTCCGCTGGTCTTACGATCCTCCTCGAACCTGGACTTGAACGTGTTGATCTCGTTGTTGCGCCTGAGCTCGCTGTTGTACGCCGAGTAGTCCGTCCTGCGGTACTCCTTCTCCGCGGGACTGTTCTCGCGCGAGGAGTCCTTGCGCTCGAGGCCGAGGCCTTCGTCGCTGTCCGAGTGACTCCTCTGCGCCTTCTTCTTGTCGGTTTGCACCTGGGCGTAGATCACGTTGGTCTGCGGGGGCGGCGAGCCGCAGGTCTCGTTCGGTCTGGTATAGGAGAACGGTCGGTTGTTGTTGTGCCCGAAACCTGGCCCGGGCGACACCATGGTCCTGGTCAGCTGGGGAGGCGGCGATCGGTCGTTGGACAATCGGTGAATCATCTTGTGTATCGTTGACTCTTCGTCGCGTTGCTGGAGATCGTATCGGCTGCTGTGCAGCATGCTACTCGCGGCGACCTTGTCTACTTCGTCGAGCCCGGTGTCCTTTGCCGGTGAAGGGGTCCGGGCTGGCTTCTCCTCTTTCCTTTGTTCCCCCTCCCGTTTCGACTTGTTATCGTCCTCAAGCTCGATGGGTATGCGCCGCACGGCCGCCTTGTTCCCTCTACGGGGCGATACCGGTGGCTCGCTGCCGGGCTCTTCCGTTTGTTCGGGCTGGTCTCGCGTCTCTGCTGGCGGCCCGGTTACCTTTCTGGCATCGGACTCCTCTTGCCTGGACTTCTTCGCTTCCGGCCGGCTCGCGGCCTCGCTCACATCGATCCTGCCGAAGTGGAACGGCTGCTGATCGACGTGCGGCGACGCCTCGATGATAGGCGACAGCTGCTTCTTCGCGCGGAGGCTGCCCAGGTGCGAGCCCTCGCTCTCGCTGCCGCTCCTCTTGCGGTGTGACCGAGCGGACGCCCCCGCGTCGCTCGCGCTCCGGCCCACCGGGTTCCTCTTGCGCTCGAGCTTCGGGGAGAAGAACCTGGCTAGGGTGCCTCTTAGCTTCTTCGCGCTGGCATCGCTCGCGCTCCTCTCCAGTGCCTTCTTCTTCAGCCGAGGCGTCTCGACCGAGTCCGCGCCGGTCGTGCCACCGATCTCCTCGCTCCTGCGTCTCACATCGAGCGGCAGTTCCGGCCTCTTCTTGTTACGACGCGCCGGGAGTGTGCTGAATCGGCCGGGCAATCGGCGGTTATCGTGCGCGACGCAATGAAGGCTGCCCGCTTGCTGAAGCACCAGCGCCGCCTCCTGCGCCAAGTCCTCCTTGCTCCTCGACGCGATGCTCTCTTTGTGCACGGGGGTGGCGATCAACCTGCCTTCGCCATCTCCTACGAGCGCCGCGGTCACGCGGGGTGATTCGCGTCCTGCAACATCAAAGAAAACCCACCGTTCTCGTCAAACCGTCTTCCATACCTTCCACCGTTCGTCGGTTGCTATTTTGCCAGGCCGATCGCCGTTAACCCTTTCGCTACGACCCTACTCGCTCGAAGCGCTTCTGCTGAACGAGCAGCTCCGACGATAAATCTGTACGACCATCGGAGCGACAACTATCCTCTAGAAAAGTTGCTTCGATCGCGCTTTTTGGAAGAAAAGGAACTTCCCTTAACGCTTTAACCGCCGTGTTAGCAATCTACGAAATTTATTGAAACTAAAGTATTTCGTTTAAAGAAATTGAATCGAGAAGTTATGTTCTACGGTATGAATTACTGTTCGAACATTCGTGCGCTTTGCGGATTCTAATGAAATTAGGAAGATATAATATTGGTTAGCGCAAGACTTATTTTTCAAATTTCAACAAATAATTTTGTCATCTTTGTACGGGCGGCGCGGCAGTTGAAGTGTTATAACGAATACCAGATAAAACATCTGAGCATACATATAGCAAGTCTAGAATAGAATACAGAATTCACTGATGACATTTTACGGAGATCGATTACACTTGTCCATCATAGCGAAAAGGTTAAAGCGATCATCAAGGTTTTCGTGATCATTTATGTAAAACGGGAAGACTTCATTCGGAACAAGCATGGTTATTCGTTAATACTTAGCGATTAATTAATTTAATTATAATGTTAGGTAATATTACTGTTCACACTTGTTAAGAAGGAATTACATTTTGAACAGTAGAGAAGGTTTCGTTCTATCTCTGCCTTTTAACTAAATTTGTAATTTCATGTAACAGTAACTTTAACAGCAAGATTATATTAATTTTGACTTACGGCTTGAATCTTGACATGCCAAAATGTTCAAACGACAAGTGAAATAAATTATAACGTTATCAAATAGTAATATAACTCCAAATGATCTTAGAAATAAATTTGATCAGTGAACGATAACATTTATTGTTTCTCACAATGAGAAAAATGTGAGTTGCGCCACTGTAATTCTTACCCGCTCAATTGTAAGTCCATTTGATTCTAAATTCGATAACAGTTTGATCTCGTTGCAAACTGCACCCGAAGGACTCTACGTTTAGCAAAGTTGAATCGCTACGAAAGAGTTCACCGTTCAACGTGCCTAAAAAAGTCATGAAGCTCGATCGATATCAAAGTTCAATGCTTGACGGAAATAGAAGATTCGATGGTTCTCGATCGAGGTCGGTCGATCAAAGTTCAATGTGGTTAAACACTTAAGGAGATCGATGAATCGTTTCTCGAGAAGGTTTTCTAAAAATGTAACTTCGATATTGCATAATTCAGTGCCAAAAGCTTCGAGAATCGTCGTGAGAAAATAACGACAGACGTGACAACGCGAAGAAACTAACGTATCTCCGGCGTAATTAGTTCTTCTGCCGACTTTCCCTCGCGTTGACCTCTGTGGTAAATCGTTCGAGCATTAGCTGTACTTTTTACCGCGGCGGGGTAATTTCCGAGTCCGCTTCACCCTAATTGCCGCGCGATTATGGTCGCGACGCGCTCGGGAAGAACTAATTAACATTCGTTTAATCTGACGCGATCAATCTATTGAAGCCTATTAATGTTATTCGAATTTCTGCTCGGTTCATTGTCCGTGCAACGATGCGCGTACGAAACGAACTCGTGCGGCGAGTCGAACACGAAAGCGTAGAACCGCCGTGCAAACGTAAAGTACTCACCGGACAGTAGGAAAACAGAGAAAGAGAGAGAGAACTCGATTATTGCATAAAAGATCTAGCTAATTAGCAGCAAAAAAAAACTCTGCAACCCACGGCTAAAGTCATTTTAACCGCACGAAGTGGATCCACTTTTTTCCCGCGGCAAAAAATTTCACAGACATGGCGCCCTACGTCATCGCCAGCCGGTATTAACGAACGAGCCAGAAGTCGCAAAATTTTAATTGGACGGCGACCAGCTCGACAACGACCTCCATTAGTAGAGTATATATATATAACCCGACTTCGCGAATTCTATCGTGGATAATAGATTATTAGATTTCTAAATTGCCGGTTTATGCGACGGTGGCCAGTCTGCTCGTTATTGTTTAATCGTCTTGTTTAACCAGACGTTCGCAGTCAACAGAAGTCGGCCACGAACCCGATGCCGTTCTTCGTGGTTCAGCAGCGACAAGAAAACGCGTCTCCTTCTCGATCGATCGTTAAACCGAGACGGGCCCTCGTTTGCTTTACTTAATTACCGTCCAATACAGTCGACATAATCGACGCCATCTTAGCTGTAAATTTGCCGGACGATCATTAGCTTGTTACAGGGGGTCGAACGATCGGAAGAAAGCGAAGCCAGAAAAATTTCATCGACGAATATGTAATTCAACGGAAGAATCTTCGGTCTGTTTCAATCAGAGAAATCCAACGCGAGCGCCATTAAAATACTGGTACCGGTCGCGAGTAATTTTTCAGTTTTTATCGCATCCGCGTTAATGACTGCGATTTAGAATAATTCATGATTCTGTATAATCGACTGCAGAGCGAACTGCGGTGTCGCTGATATTTTTACGCGTCTGACTTTTACGATTTTATACTACCAGCTGTTGCAACCTTTCAGCGTTAATTTAACCGTTTTACAATCGAGTCGACTCTAGACATTTCTTCCAACCTAGAAGAATGTAGAATTGAACGCTTACTCGGGCCGCGCATGGATTTTTAACGAAATTATTAAACACAAACAGGCGAACGTTATTAGTGTCTCAGAGTCGTCATTCGAGTGGAAAGACTTAACATTTATTTATTTACTTATCAACGGGTATGAGCCCTCTTAAGGCTAAATGCGCAAAATACATAATACGATTATGTCTAACACTTGCAAATAAAATAGAAAAATCGAATAAATTTTTAAAATTGTTAATGTTGATGAAAATACGATTTAAAGAGATTTAATTCTTTTCAGAGAATCAATTGGTGTCTAAAAGCTGACGATATATGCTGATACAATTAAAGCAAAGCTCGATAAAATAGAAGATCGTGAGATTATTCCATTTAAAGCTTTCTATACGAATGATAAGTCAGAGATAATACGGCGATACTTCAATGACAGAAAACTATTAGGTCTGAAAGTTCTGTCCGTTTTTGAATTGAAATATAACACAATATTCATACATTTAATAATATTGATTGTAGAATATACTTTCCATCGTTACTTATGACATCTTGCCAGCGTGATGGCAACTTGTAAATGCCATTTTTAAAAAATGATTTATTTTTAGAGGCGAAGAACTCAACTAGCGTTTGGTTGACATCGGCTTCAGTTTTGAATTTTTTTCCTGTAAACAGTTTTGCAAAGAGAGAAACAAGTGATAATCGGAGGGTGCTAGGTCTGGGGAGATGGCGGATGCGACAGAATTTCCCAGCCTAGTTCTGCGATTTTCTGACGAGTCACCAAAGCAGCATGTGGTCTGGCATTATCATCGGTAGCCATGTTTTCACGATCGCGTCTCGCTTAATAATGACACGAGACATCTTTGTTTCAGTTTATTTAGGAGAG